TTTCCCTAGTTGACTCATTTATGGTTCCAGAGTTCCCAAGACAGAACTGCTGAACTCCAATGACACACAAACAGAAGATTTTCTGACACATTCTTCTCCCTCCTGTCAGTTTGGCCCCCAGAATTTACCTTTCTGCAACCGATGTCCAAATACCAGAGTCTCTGGAGAAGCAAAGAGAACAGAGGTGAAGCACTGGATCATCAGGCCTTTTAACAAAACTTGTTTTAAAAAAATACACTGAAGTCATTGGCGGCTTTTCCTTATTTCAAGCTTAAGAATTAAAGCACAAAGTGAAACCAATGTGGAGGATGAAATTCCATCCTACGTACTACATTAATTGGCTTACAAACATTAAAATTTGCCTTCTCAAACATTACAGTAGTTATTCAAAATTCACCATTATAGCTGCTATTACAATAATTGAGAGGGGGGAAATTCAAGAAGCTGATAACAAGTATCTTTAGTAGAAAATATAAGATCCCCAAAATACACTGATACTCAAAAACTAGACATGAATTTTATTTTTAGACCACACCTACTTCCTTTCTGATATCTGAATGATGATTTAGAAGACTTACATACCTCTTAAAGAATATAACTGAATATTTACACAAATTGAAAAATTACATTACTATTATTACCAAACTGAGATGGCCTACACATTTAAGGATGCAAAAGAATATTTATAAAAATATTCCTATGTTGTAGGAGTTTGGCTTACCACTATTGGGAGTATAAATATACACACAGAAAGAAAGAGATGTTATGTCTGTGTTAAGTGCCGTCAAGCCGCTTCCAGTTCACACTGACCCTATGAATTACTGTCCACCAAAATGTCCTGTCTTTACCAGCCGTGCTCACGTCTTGCAAACTGAGGGCTGTGGCCCTCAATCCATCTCATCTCACCCAGCTATAAATGGTGTGTTAACTATAATATATAATGGAACAAAGTTTGAGTCTAGTGGCACCTTTAAGACCAACAAAGTTTAATTCTGGGTATAAGCTTTAGTGTGCATGCACACTTCAGATACAGTGAAAGGCTGGTTAAGAATCAAAATAACTGAGCAAAAAGTATAGCTAAGATTGGATTAAAGCAGCTGGTAAAACCTGTGAAAACCAGCAAATTGGTATACAGATAATAAAAGAGTTAACAAGCAGATGTGAGAACTGGACACAAACTTAGTTCTTGCATCTGTTAACTCTTTTATTATCAAAATGCTAATTTGCTGCTATTCACAGTTTTTACCAACTGCTTTAAACCAATCTTAGCTATGCTTTTGCTGCTCAGTTACTTTATGCATCTTGACTCTAACTGGCCCTTCCTGGCAACTAACCCCCCTACCTATATGTATTTGTTGTAGAAGTCTTGTTTCAATGCATCTGAAGAAGTGTGTGTACACACGAAAGCTTATACCCAGAATAAAACTTTGTTGGTCTTAAAGGTGCCACTGGACTCAAACTTCGTTCTATTGCTTCAGACCAACACGGCTACCCACCTGAATCTATAATACATAATGTATTACATAATGCATGTATGATTATTTCAGATCTTGTATATGTTTATCATTATTTTGTGAACACACACACACTAATTTTACAGAGAGACAGATTAATAAGATCAGGTTCACTTTATATTAACGTGTGTGGAACTGAAAGCTATCCCTTGATTAAAGGTAAAGGTAAAGGGTTCCCATTCTCGAAAGCCAGTCGAATCCGACTCTAGGGTTGCAGTGCTCATATCCGTTTCAAAGCCGAAGAGCCAGCACTGTCCGAAGACGTTTCCGTGGTCATGTGGCCGGCATGACTAAACACCAAGGCGCACGGAATACTGTTACCTTCCCACTGAAGTGGTACCTATTTATCTACTTGCAATTTCTTGCTTTCGAACTGCTAGGACTAGAGACGGGAGCTCACTCCGTCATGCGGCACCCGGGTCTCGAACTGCTGAACTACCGACCTTCCACAGCCCGCAGTTCAGCGTCTTAACCACTTGAGCCACCGCAGCTCCAGTTATCCCTTGATTAAGCATGCCTTAATTTGAAGCACAGCAGGTCTTGACATCTTCTATTAAAGATACTGGAAATCCAAATTTGAACGGTGTTGTTGGACTCTGTTGTTCCTGAGAAAGTGTGCTCAGCCTTCCAGCTTTTCTGCTGGTACATGAAGAAGTGAGCAGTGACTCACGGAAGCTTCTACTCAACCACAGATTATGTTGGAACACTTTCCCTATGAGGAAAGGTTAAAGCGCTTGGGGCTCTTTAGCTTGGAGAAACGACGACTGAGGGGTGACATGATTGAGGTTTATAAGATTATGCATGGGAAAGAGCAGGTAGAGAAAGAGGTACTTTTCTCCCTTTCTCACAATACAAGAACCCGTGGGCACTCCATGAAATTGCTGAGCGGTCGGGTTAGAACGGATAAAAGGAAGTACTTCTTCACCCAAAGAGTGATTAACACACGGAACTCACTGCCACAGGAAGTGGTGACAGCTACAAGCATGGACGGCTTCAAAAGGGAATTAGATAAGCATATGGAGCAGAGGTCCATCAGTGGCTATTAGCCACAAGGTATAGATAGGGACTCTGGGGCAAGT